GAAGCAAATGACAGAGAGTGGGGAGCATGAAGGTTAGCCAAGCACAGCCAGTAAAAGGCATCCAACGGTACTAGAGGCACTAGAGACGAGAGTAGCAATCCTGTAGCCCTTTTGATCCTTCTGGCATGGATGTATGTACAAATATAATCAAATAATATATATATATATCATACAGGGAGCCCTCCAACCAAGGGGCATTTGGGGATCTCCCTATTCGAAAGCACACCCATGTGCCAGTGTGTATCTTTGAAATCCTTCATAGACTTTTTCGTGAACAGCTACCAGGTGGACAGCCAAGACCGTGCTGACTGCAGCGTGAGTCCGCTCCGAAGGCGGGCTTGCTGGACGGTGCTTTTTACGGGCTTGGCAATATTCCATAGTCCAGAAGAATACACCCTTCTCCATGGGAATTTGCCTTTAACCAAATCCAAACGTCGAGCCCAGCATCTCAATGCCCAGCATCGGGCATAACCAAAGTGCTTGCTGTGGCTCAGCTTTGCATTCCCTCACAATGTGTTTGCGAGGTGGCGAGAAGTTGAGCTAAATTCACCAGTGAAGCCTGGAGAGCCAGATCCTCAAGAAAACCAGGATATGATGCGGCCGCCGCTAGTGGTCCATGGATGATACAACATGCTGACTAGCATATACTAGCATGACGCAGGTTTCCAGATTGTCAGATACATCCCAGTCCAAGAATATTTTCCAGCATACATCCCAGTCATTCCCAGTACACGCATCAGTCCGCCAGTGCTCGTGTCAGTCAATCGGATCGAGGCGCAGCGGTGCATCCAGTGTGATCTACCAGGAGTCTTCCGGCGTCTGCCGGTGTTTTCTCTTCTCATGTTTGTTGCTTTTGGCAGAGCACGTGGCTGTCGTACTTTCAAGTGTTTGTTGCAGGATGCACTGTATGTGTTTGGAGGCTACGGCGGAAGTGGCCCTTTTCTAAGAGCGCGAGCAAGATTTGTGGGTCGAAATCTGATCAATGTCACATCACTGTCAGCTACATGTTCTCCACTCATGGAACATTGGACCAACTGGCGGGCCAGTGAGGATGCCTGCAAACTTGTAGCATGTTGCAGTGCAGAATGAACTATCAGAACTTGTCTCGACAGCGCAAGTAGCTGATGCGGAAGGTCGGCTAGACGACATTTACCGCTTCGACTTTCCATCCAGGCGTAGCCTTTCCTTTCCCCAGCCGCTTGCAAAATATTGCAAACACTTGCTTGTTTGATAGACTGTAGACATCAACAGTTTGGGCCCCCTGATACAGCCTTGCCTTCGATTCTACGTCACCTGCACTGATTTATTTATCCTTTGAGTTGAAGTGCCAGGTGTTGGACGCGCTTAGAGGTCCAGGGCACTGCAGTCTACCCAGTGAAGGAAAGCAGTGCAGCATTGGCTGAAATCGAACCGTTGCCTTCAATCACGAGATTGCAGTTTGCCATCGTTGCTATTTCATGCTGTTTGGCATACCATGTGACCTTGCCCATTGTGCAAGGGTGTGCGACAATATTGAGCTGCAGATATGAGTCAGATGATGTCAGATATATCACTCTTCCCTTTGGTCTTTGCTCTAATTGTACTCGCAGGGATGCGTTTGCACAAGGTTCCAGCTGGTCGCGAGAACAACGGCGCCGTCGTGCATGGAAACAAGATGTACTTGCTGCTTGACTGTCCAGAATCTCAAAGTTCACTTGCATGACAGTATGTGCAACATGGAGACTGAGTGAAGGTTTGGCGGCTACTCGGGCTTCACTTGGCTTAACGACTTCCACAGCTTCAATTTCGATAGCAGCACGTGGCAAGCTGTGCCGCTTCTTGGCGCTGATAAGACTTGCAGAGGATGTATACAATCTTTAGGAAAGGCAAACATCATCCAAAAAGCTGTCAAACATTCAGACTCCATCAAAACAAACTGGCAGGTTGCAAAAGGAAGCAGACCAGCAAGGTTTGGCACATTTGAGGTCTGGGCACAAGGGCAGCGTGCCTTCGACCCGCTTTGGCTACGTCTCGGCAGTGTCAGGAACTGTTTGGGAGGTGTGATGACGTTTGGCATAATTCTACAGAGAACTTGAAAGCATTTTGACATTTGTGAAATCCACAAACAAAGTCTATTGAAGCAGATATGAAATCTGAAGCCTCATTCCTTTTTGTCCTCATCTCCGCTGAGGCATGGTGATTTCATGTACGTCTTTGGAGGCTACGACGGCTCTGCTTGGTTGAACGACATGTTCGACTTTGACTTCGAGCGTGGCGCGTCTTTGGCTCAGCTCGTTATTACCTGCTCTTCCATTGTTCTGCATTGCCAAGCCCTGCATGATCCACCTGCCATATGATGGCATGCCATTCAGCCTTCAAATCTACTGAACAGGGCAGCCTTTCTACTCCTGCTTTTCAAATTTCCATCGGCGCTTTGGAAAAGCAGATGACTGAGGTGGTACTCCACCCAAGTGCAGGGTTTCATCCCATCGGGCAGGACCAACTGAGACCAAACGCTGGACGACGACTGTTGTGCATGGCAAGCCTGGCAGGGAGCCCGTCGTATTGCAAGCAACAACGTGTTTTTTCTGCCTTGGATGCGGCAGGGGAGAACCATTGGCATGAAGATAGCCCACTTATAGCAAAGTCATGGATTTCAAACAGTCTTGAACTGCTTTGCTTTCTATTGCACCGCTAATACAGCAAAGGCCAAGCCAAGAAGTTAAAAGCAATCCGTACTGTCACCCTTCCAAATATGGCAGACGACTGTGTCGGGAGAGGAGCTGTCCATCCTGGGCCACTCACAATGGTTCCGTCTACCTTTTTGGTGGCTATGATGGCGACTTGGCAAGAGCAGTCCCTGCTCACAAACTTCAAGGAACTGTTTGTTCCTGAAAGAAAGCCGACTTTGTAAAGAGCTGCATGAGCTTTCCTAGATACTCGAGATACTCGATGTCTCGATGTTCCTTGCCGTCTCAAATGGCCCTTGGAATGTTCCGCAGGTGTGCATCGCATGAACGACTTCCACCAATTCAGGATGGCTTCGAGGAGAATTGGAGAACCTGGGTGTTGGAAGACTCATTGAGAATTCTAGGTTCTGATCATACGAGAGCACAGCGAGGTTGAACAAGAAAACTAAGAAGACAATCATGTTTCATTCTTCGTTTTGTAATTAGGCTTGCGCTCCCCCAAAGCGAACATTGCAGCCATTTCAGCCATTTGGTATAAGTATAGGAAGTTAATTACTTTCCGAGCTTGGGGGGCATGTTTGCGTGACTGTTTCCCTCGCTTGGGTTTGTTTCGATCATTTCGGATCACAGTGTTCCGTACTGCTGCATGCCTGCATGCATTTGGACCACCCAGATGTTTCATGGCTTAATTAGGATACTCATCATTGAAACAATCCTCAAGAGGAGCCCTGCATAGCAACCACTGAAAGAAGATCCTCGATCCGCCTGTGTGGAGGACCTGGTCTTCAGTGAGATCAGCTGGCCAGGCTGCGGCAGAGTGCTTGTTTGACGGAAGAGGATGGAGCAACTGAAAACATGACGAAGCCCACTTCTTCACTTCATCAAAGAAGCCCAAACTTCCACATGTATCACTGCAAACTGCAAACCTTGGTCAAATAGGAAGTTATTGAGCGGAAGGTGAGGGGAGGGGTATTGTGGAACACGTGAACGATTGGGCTGTCGACTGCTTTCATCGCTCCCGACTGTGACGAGTTGGGAGGTATTGTCAAAGCCAGCTTTCACAACTGCCCCACAAATAAACCAGCTGATCCCACCAGTCGCTGCGGAGGTTCCGTCTCCACGTTACTTCCATGCCAGCGTAGCAAGGACCCCAGAGTCACGCGATCTATGGAGCCATGCCACAATCGATGCTCGATAGATGTGAGCAACAGCCGGCAACAGCATGCCAGTCTCCTCAGGTCTATGGCAATTCGCTTTTTTCTGTTCGGAGGATACAGCGGACAGGACGTTGTCCTAATGGCTTTCATGCTTGTCGCTTAACGAACTGACACATGCTTAAACCATGTCGGCTTTCTGACAGCCTTATAAAATCTTATAACCCTGTGTGTTGCTCTTGTCCATGTGTGGACAACTCATGCAGGAGAGGCTGAATGACCTCTACGAGTTTCGATTCGATTGCCATACATGGCAGGGATCTTGGATTCATTACGTGCCACCCGTGCTGTGAGCCAGCGGTTGGCAAGACGTACAAAAGGCCTGTAGAATCCATGATTTACATTTACATGACGCCAAGCCAAGCTTGCATCAGAAGCATTCGAATCAAGGTTTGTGCTAAGCACAGAGGACCCACCAAGCGGCAGATCGTCTTTAGTTGCTGAGGCTGGCTAATACGCACATACAACACAACATTCACTCCTATAGGTCTTACACTTCAGTCTTGCACACAACTTCAAGCTCTCGAACAACTTCTGAAGAACCGTCCTCAAAATCTGCAGACTAGAACATGTCGATCTTTGTTAACATTGTCAGTTGAACATCATTAGAGATTCGTTCGGCTGCAAGTTTGATGTGACAGGTCTTCAACAACTCGCTATATGTCTTTGGTGGCTACAACGGAAGCATAGCGCACCCCCCAGCATTCCTGTACAGAGAAATCGAGAAGCAAGGATTTCGGCGCAAACAATCATTGATGCCAGACATTTACGTGTGCAGTTGGACTTGCTACTTCTCTTTGATTTCTCAAGTCGAGTTTAGACTGAAGTCACTTACCTGAAACCAAACGGCCTCAGTCCAGAAGGTTCATACATCATTGATACATCCAGAATATTCAGGATATAATATATTAATCAGCATACAGTGGTTTCAGGTGGTTTGACGGTCTTGGAGCACAAAACAGGTCCACAGATGTCCAGAGCCTCAAAATAACTCGTAATTGGCAAGGAATTCCTTGTAGTGACGTAGTGTTCATAATGCTGGACCTACAATATGTCAGTGTGGCCTCAAATGAAGGAACTAGTGGCATTCAATCGTCTTTTGCTTTTAGCCTGTAAAGTATGGAGCAGGTAAAAGCACGAGATGAAAGAAGCATCAATTGGTGGTGTGCAAACAACTGCAATGCGTTCACTTTCTTCTCGGCCAGCACATTCAGTAGCTCATGTTGCATGTGAGTCTTTGTCATGCTGTGACTGGAGACCATTTGGCGGTTGTCAAGCTGCAAGCAACTGCCTCCATCGATGACTTGTATGTTGCCAGCGCACAAGTGCTGAACAGAGACACATTCGTATTGCATTTGTTGCGCCACAATCAAGAACTTTCCTCCGGGACCGTGGGGCAGCTGGCAGGAGCAGGCGAGGACATTGCAGCTTGGATGGCTCAGCTTTTTGTCAAAGCCAAGGAAGTTACACGCCTTTGATATCCTTTGATATCCTTTGATCATCTATTGTCCTGCCATGTCTTGTTGGTCCAAGGAAATCTCAGTCCTGTTCGTGCCTGGGCCTCGTTTCGTGGCTAGTGCGCAGAGCATCTGGTTATTGAGCATCGGCACAGAGCCCCAAATGCTGAAAGAGAGCACCTCGGAGAGCTCTTCAGTCCTGTCCATGGCTTTTGCTAGGAAAACGAATCAAATTGCAATCAAAACCCTGGATACTGTCCAAGTTTGGGATGTAATATCTGGAGAGCTGAAGGAGCAGCTGGTTGTCGAAATGAAGTCTGGAAGGTCAGCTTCACCAAGCCCCAAACTGATGGACTTCACTGAAGATGGCAGCCAGCTTGCTGTGATTGATGATTCCCAGCACGTGCTAAAAATATGGGACCTACAGTCGAAGGCTTGCATATTTGAGGCACCCAGTTGTTTTGAGGTTTGTGCATTTTCACCAGATGGCCTTCGCATCGTTGCTGGTGGAGCCTGCGATATGGACGGAACTGCAACTGTGTGGCAAGTGAGTAACAGCAGTTGCTTGCAAAGACTGGGCTTGACCGATGGATACTTCACCGGTGCTCTTTTCTCACCAGATGGATCCTGGATTGTAACAGCAACTCGTGAACCGAACTACGAGCCTTGGACTCCTTAGCCGCCTTCTGTCAGGTCAGCTAGAATGTTTGTGAGGGTGAGAACTTTCGACCTCTCATCCTTTGCCACTACATCTTTTTCCTCACACTAGTTTCCAGAACTCAACCTTCGCCGAACGTGCCCAGGAGGAAGTGCTTCTTTGGGATCAGGCAGAGCACCGCGCTCTTGACTTGTACGGAAATTACAATGTCGCAGCCCGCCTCAAACGATATTGCTTGTGGCAAAAAGACGTGGTGTTTTGACCGTTTTGATGTGCCTCTAGTAAAAGGATGTCAGTAGAGTTGCTGGAGATGTGAGGCCTTCGTTAGCGACTCTGTGCTCGTCGGTATGACAGAGGATCGTGGATGCATCAATGTTGTGAAAGCCCCTTGACGCAGTATCACCTTGATGATCCTTGATGTGATGATTCAGATACAGTGAGCAGAACTGGCCCTAGCGCAACTCACTCACATATATAGATTTGCACCATGTTGTTCAATTAGAATCAGCCAGACACGATCTCCCAAACTTTACATATCTGTCCATATTATATATATATAATATGTATACATATATATATATAATATTTATGTTGAGACGCTAACGTCAGAGCATCTAGTGTATATTGTTCGATTCCTGAAAGCATTCGTGTGCGATTGTTGTTTGGGAAAGGGCTGTAACATGGCAATCGCCAGAAAGAGATCGATGTTTGAAGTTTACTATTTTTGTGAAGCCATGCATTCCAAGGTCCCTGAGGGTCGGGCGGTTTTGTCAGTGCCGCTGGAAGGGACCATCAGACCGCACTCCCTGTTTGCTGCTTTGTTCCTGCCCTACAAGCATGGCTTTGTGGCAATTCTGGGGATGCCCAGCGAAACCTACAGTTTTGATCAGTTTTGCAATGCCCGAGATGGTTTTCTTTTTCTATCTTTTCTGTATGTGAAATCTGTCCGAATGGTTGATTGTGTCCTTCTGTTGTCCTTGTTGACTTTGGACATTTTTCGATTTGGCTTGTCATGGCAATCCAGTTTCTTGTATAACAGAGAACTTCATCATACCAAGAAGCAGTGTTCTATATTTCTGGCTGTATATATATATTATAAGTTAAGCGGTCCACGACATCTATGACCGATCCAAGGTCCAGTGAAAACAATGCCTTGGCTTTGACATTTCCCTCTCTGGAGTCAACAGTTCCTCACAATGTGATTTCCTTCTCCTTGGAGAAAACCATTGAAGCGCTGGCGTAAGAGTCCCGCAAAAGGACGCAGTGAGCGGCGGCAGTCCTTTTGTTCTCCTTTTTCATTCGGAAAAGAAAAGCGGTCTTGGACGTCGCTTGCTAAAAGACAGAGGCAAGCAAACAAGACCAAAAAAAGAAGCATTCGTTCGTAAGAAGCCCCTGCTAAGACAAGAAGGCCCTCCAAGGCCAGAAGGCACTGTGCAACTTGCTTTTTGGAACTTGCAAAATTGGTTTCAGCGCTGAGAGCTCGCTGCGCTCGAGAGCAAGTGCAAGCAATTGCGGCCGTGTGTGGACCGAACTTTCTTCGGACACATCGTCCAAGAAATCACATGGCCTAAAAGTCTTCTGACACTGGAGGATCGCTGATAAGTGGGTGCTCAATCAACACCAGTAACCACTCATGTCACCGGATCGATTCACATGCCTAAGTCGTCCATTTTGTTTTTGGCCCTAGGGATTCCCAAAATCAACCAGGGCCGGGTGCTGTAGTAGCTTCTTGCTACTAGTCGTAATGCCATTGCTACTAGTAGCGATGCACTCTATACTAGTAGCTATTTGTTCCTAGTAGTAATGCCAGGAGCTACTAGTAGCTTCTTGCTACTAGTAGTAAGGCCATTGTTACTAGTAGCGATGCACT